AAGGTGATAAAACTTGAAGGCTTAGACTAACTAATTCATTCGGTTTGCATTCATTTTCTTTTACATCTAATTTCGATATTTATTTACTTATTTTTCCCAATTTGTATCAAGTTATACCACGTATCCTTAGAACTACGTATAAATTCAATTGCTATCCATTTTTTGGGTAAACATAGGTAATCTTGAAAATCACCCCATTGTTATTTGTTGGGAATTGTAGAAGGCTAGATGTGCTTCAAGGTATGGAGGTATTAAGATTTCTTTTACAAGAGTTCAATTCCAGGTTCTTTCCCATTTGAGATGGGTGGTTTTTAAACATAACATTTCTATAGAGGGATTTCTCCAATGGCATAGTATATGTGATAAACTCATGGCCTTAACAACAAAGATTATATGTATTCCTGTAAGTTGGGAAAACCCTTTATTTGGTTGGGCCAAGCTTAAGGTAGCAAACAGGGTAATAATATGATTGGCGTTTGGGGCATTTTAAGAGATCACAGGGGTAATATGATTATAGCTTTCTCACAAAATTTGGGGAGTGGCACAAGTAATTTGGCAGAAGCTAAGGTTGCACTTCTAGGCCTACAGTGGTATCATTCTAATGGTTATGATAGAATTATCCTAGATTGTGATTCCAAACTAGTGATTGATATGTCGAATGATAATTTAAAATCCCTCTAGCACATGAACAACACTATTCGAGAGATACANCACAGGGGTAATATGATTATGGCTTTCTCACAAAATTTGGGGAGTGGCACAAGTAATTTGGCAGAAGCTACGGCTGCACTTCTAGGCCTACAGTGGTGTCATGCTAATGGTTATGATAGAATTATCCTAGAATGTGATTCCAAACTAGTGATTGATATGTCTAGTGATAATTTAAAATCCCTCTAGCACATGAACAACACTATTCGAAAGATACCACATCTCATTTTTCAACACAATACTACTATTAGACATTGTTACAGGGAGGCTAATAATATGGCGGACATACTTGCAAAATGGAGTCATGAGATTCATGAGGCTATAATCTTTAATAATAATTTTCCGGAGCAAGCCTTTGGTCACTACAAACTTGACAGAATACAGCTTCCTAACCTCACGCATAAAGTGGTCGAGAATATCTTTGTTGCTCGATGAATGCCTCTTTGGCCTGTTGCTATGACAAAATTGTTAGGGAATGAGTTATATGTCACAAGCTCTTTTGGTTATCTAGCACATATAACAGATCCGTGGAACAAGTTTAACTTTGAATCTGATATCTATACTAGGTAGATATTAAGATAGGTTTTATTTTGTATTTGGGGGTTAGTTTTATGTCCCCCTCCTCTTGTACTTTACTTTGATTATCAATAAACAAGGTAGGGATCAATGCGAAACCCTCCATCACCACGGAAGGTGAAAGTCCGGGTCGATGGATTAATTTTTTTTTTTTAAAAGTACATCTTAAGGAGCTTGAATCTCAGTTTTGGCATGATTTTGCGGAGTTTTGAGGTGATTTGAATTTTATTCAAAGTAGAAGATGAAACATGGGGAAAAAATGATGTGTATCATACTGTGTATCATTTATGTATCATATTTGTATCAAATATATATCACGTGTATATTCATGTATACTTCTGTGTGTGATACAAGTTTGATACATGTGTCAAAGAAGAATTTTTTGAACTCGATTTTAACTACGGATTTTGATATCAAATCAGCCTAAATCACCTCCAATCTTCCTCAAAATTTGTATATTGACTCATCTAACTCCTTTTAAGCGAAGCAAATTCACATTTTTTTCTGAGTCGATAAGATGATCCATGAAAACTGCATAATCACTGAAATATCTAGAATGTGCATTAGGCGACTGTTACTCGTAAGCTATGAGATTTCTCAAGATAGTCTCAGTATCATCAACGACGTGAAAACAAGGAATTTTCATCAATCCATTCTCGAATGTAATGTCAAATAAACTTGTGCTATCTTCAAGGTTGTCTTCCTCCAAACAAGTATAGACAGTTCCCACCTTTGCAAAATTAACTCCAGCTTCACAAAGCTCTGTTGCATTTGGCATAATGTCATGCCATATTAAGTGGTTACTATCTATTGCTATTTCTTTTGACTTAATTATTTGTAACAGATTCCCGCATAAGCTTTTCCCACAACGTTCGATTTCAATGCTAGGATTATTCCGAGTTAAGCTAGTTTTCATCTCTGAAGGGTGGCATGACATGTGTACTAATTGAAGTAAATGTTTGATATTTTTGGCATTACCTTCAGTCTCAACAAAGGATGCAGGAGTAATCTTTGGTAAGCAAGGAAGAAAGGTACACTTCACCATTATTATGAATGATGTTTGATCAACTTCCATTGTCATGTCATGAAGTTTGGCGAGGATAAAGAAAGGAAGTTGGTTTTCTAGTAACAACAAATCTCGACGTACTTGATTATCTATGCAACCTCCTCTGATAATTATGTCTTCTCCTGTTGGAATTATTCCACAACACTCTCGAATATACTCAACCACAAAACAACCATCAACCAATAACATCAGCAAAAATTCACCAATATTGTCACTATAAAAGTCATGTATATCATCATAACACTTACGCGCTTCATCCTTCAATTCTTCTATTTCTCTGATGCAACTTTCCACATCAATCCCTTCTTTCCTTCGGAAAAACCGTTGTAGGTACATCAGTTTGTACTTTTCAATCGACCGAAGTTCAGTATTGTGTTTATGGTAAGGGCCAATGGAGATCAACATTGGCTTATAAGAATTTGGATTTGATTCACTTAGCCCTGCACTTACTTTGAATATGGTAGTTGATTTGATAGACGAATTGTTGAAATCCTTAAAATTTTCATCATATATTTGCTTTGCAGATTTAATTGTTTGCAACCTTGATTGATCTTGACCATTTGTTTCCTCTATGTCGATTAAATAATCCACTTTCCTCCCTTCTTCTATCTGTACGTAATTAATGGAAAAGAATCAAAAAATTTAAGTATTACCTAGCTTATAAAGGATAGCATAAAAGTGAAGGACACAATATATATATATATATATATATAACTTCTTTCCTTAAAAGTCTTTTATGATATTCTTCCCCAGAATTTATATCACTTCTCTTCAAAATAAGGATAAATTGATATTTCCTTTATTGAATAGATAGATTATCACCGCGTGGATCGACATAACATTACATTAAGTTATTGTAAATATAGTAAGGCGAAGAACTGTTGTTCAGTGGATGTGATCTGTTGCGGAGAGCATTGACTTAAGATTTAAGGAGAGTAATTAGTTGACCCGATACAAATATTTATTTGGGGGTCGGTACATCTCTCATGCCTTATTACAAGTTTTTTCGTTTTAATTAATGCAAACTATGTCATTACTGAATGACCTAGACATGACCTTAGTAAACCGAATTAAAGAAGTATAGCTTGTTTTTGCGTGTGTGTGTGAGAGAGAGATAGTACCTCATTCTCTGTAGCTTCATTTACAGAAGTTTGATGAAGAAGTGGAATTTGATGATCCATTCGGGTAATCTCAATATGATGTGCCATTCTTCTAATTAATTCGATAATTTTCTTGAAACTGTAATTCCAACAGGAGAGAGAGAGAGATGAGTTAAGAGATGGAAACACAAGAGAGTAATATGTTATAGAGTGATAAATTGATAGTGACGAGTTATACAGCCAACTCCAATTATTTTGAGTTTACAGTATACGTAATAGTAGTTATTCCACTAAAAACTAATTTTGAAACAAAAAAGTATGAGTAGAAAGATGAACAAACGATCGCTACGAATAGTAATTTCCTCAAACATATAATTCTGTAGCTTGAGCTAACAAAGAATGGAAGGGGAAAAAAGGTAGCAAAGAATGTAATTAATTTATTGGGCAAATATAGAATGAGAAATGCAGAAGTACTTACTTGCCTCTTTGTTCCTCTTGCATGCGTTGTCCTGAATTAGGACGAGAAGGGGAAAGCAGAATTATAAGGGGAATGCGAATTTTCTTTTTATTGTGTAGAGACAATCGAAAGCCTTCTTTTTTAAAATAAAAAATAAATTGATTTCCTGCTCGGGTATACATTGGGACTCGATTACATCCGGATTTGTACCGAAAAATTGCACATTACGAGGTACAGAGGCGGATGTAGTGTTCTGGGAACGGGTTCAACTGAACTCATAACCTTCGACGCGGAATAAAAATATATATGTAAAATTTCATTAAAATTGCAAAAATAGCAGATATGAACTCATAACTTTAAAAATATAATAGGTTCAATGTTAAAAACCATAAAAGTTGAACACATAAGGTTTAAATTCTGGATCCGCCTCTGACGAGTTAAAGGGCTCTATAATAAAAACGATTTCATACTCAAGCTCTAACACGAGATCATTTATCACTCAACCATAATCCTGATTGATAAAAGTCAAAATTAATACCGTTGATGTTAAACGTGGGACGAAAAAGATGTGTAGAACCACAAATTGTTGTCTTTCTTTGACTCGTTCAATACCAGAACTTTCCCTGCAGCTAGCCAGCTACTACATTAATATTGCACTCATAAAATTGACTTCTTTTTCAAAATTTTGAAGTAAACGCTGCCTAGTTGGCACGTCCAAATTAATACTCTCCCGTTTTATTTTATTTTGGTCTACTTGCATAAAATTTAAAAATCTTAAATATACCATATTATTTATGTAGCTATAAAATTTTCAAAACTTATAGTTTTAATATATCATAGTAGTTGTGTTGCTATAAAAAAAATATTATATAAAATAGTGTCAAACAAAATAGAACAGAAAGAGTAGCTGACAATAATAATTGGGAACACCCGGTCCCAAACCAACTTAACTCTACGAGATTTGAGCCGACTCATTTGTCGATTATTTGCCATGTGCTGCATCTTTATGCCTCAAAGATCAATATTAGAGAAAATTATCAATCTGTATACTTGTTTCTCTTAAATAGTGGAGTCAGTTTTTGCCAAGATATGGGATAATACGGATATGTTGCTGTTGATGTAGTCGTCTAAGATTTGAAAATCATGAAAATTTCAGAGCCTCGAATTTTGAGACTGTGATTGTCCATCGATTACTATGTTATAAAATAATACTAATAATCTAGTAATCTTGCCCGCATATTCGTTGGTTTTTTTCCAGCTTTTCGAGCCATGTATACTACCTAATTGTCACTTTCATATATAATTAGATGAAAGGAATTTCTTGAAATATCTGAAACGGTATTCTGAACAAGAAATTTCCTAGTTGGTAGTTCAAATTAGGAAAAACAAACTTGAGGTTCATTCTCTTGAAGATAGGTAAAAGGTTATAGCATCATCTCTCAAATGGTTTGGTCAATACTAGTCAAATGGGATAGACATATTTCTAAGCTCAGAGGCCATTTTACATTTTACACACACACGCCATATATATATATATATATATATATACACACACTCAACCACCTGATCAGCCAGGAGACCGTCTTTAACTTCTCTATACATGGGGATCATGGGGAAAGTACTCCCAACGGAGCAAAGACAAGCTTCTATCGCTAATGTCATGCTTCCTTTGCTATGCCCCTCGCTTAGCCCCGCTCTTTGGTTTAGGATGGATCCGGACTAGAAGCGAAAATACCGTAAAAATGGCTTCAGACTTGGAGCTTAAAGTGCTTAGCTGATATCATAGGGAGAAGGGCAAAATATCTTTTCCGATGATCAGCCACACTGGCACTGAGACACAGTCCGGACTCCCACGGGGCAGCAGTGGGGAATCTTGAACAATGAGCGAAAGCCAGAGTTTTACAACCTGTGAAGTTACAACGCCCGCTTTTGTTAGCACATATCATTGGAATTTGAAACCAAAAGTTGTAATCAACCCATTATTTAACTATATAATAAGTGAAAGGTTCCTTGGACGACCAAGGGCATTGCGATAAATATAACTTTCTTTGGGGGCATTATGGTAATAGCGTAACCTTATTGACTTCCAAGTGCCCTACTTGAAACACAACGTGTGTTTATTAGCTTAGCTTTTCCTTTTGGTTCCTCTTTGCAATCTGAGAGAATTCTCAGTTGAAAAGAAGAAGAAATGATAACAGAGAGGTACACTAACCTTTTACCACTATGCTTTTGAAGCTGGGCAAGCGAAACAGCAATTTTAGCACCAACAGAGGCATTATTTTTCACGAGTGCAATATCTGAAACTTCATTAAAAAAACTCGAAAGATGGGACAAACTGAAAGAAATAATTTAATTCAGGTTGTACTGTAGAGATGATTAAAATAATTTATTGTGAAATTTTTCTTTCTCCACCTGGACTTGATGAATGATATGCAAACTAAAAATCATATAGCAACATCAGATAAAGGATACTTGAAGCCAGAGATGCTCCACCAGTAAGTTCGTTCACTCTTGCAAGCAAGAATGGAGTTTCAGCATTGCCAGTTATCTTCTTCTCTCTGAGGTTTGCAATTCCATCCCACCATTAATATGTCAGAAGTATGTGGAAAAGGCAATTAAGGTTCAAAGAACCATGTGCTTCCGTAAATAAGAGGCTTCAGCAGAATACTCACCGTGCTTCTTGGAGAGCTTGCTGTATTGCCGACTCAATCAAACTTCCAGAAGCAGAATGCTCCCGTGGAATGGGAAGTGCTATCAATATTCCACTCTTCCGCTCAAGTCTTATATTTGCGTCTGCAGTCAAAGTTAGAGAATACAAGAAAAAATGCTATAATTAATGAGTAAATGAATGATGGAAGGAATAGGTCTGGGGCTGCTTACCAATAACTCGAGCACAATGTTCTGGCGATTCTACACGAGCAGGTGCCTAAGTTTTATGTCAAAAGATAACCAATTAGAAAACATGATGTAATGTTCATTACAAATATAATTAAGAAAATATGATCTGGTGTTAACTGAAATTACATGAGACTGCTCATAAGTTATTCAAACATTCCAAAAGAAAAGAAGTGATCTATTCACCTATGCTAACTAATATGAAATCAGTTTCTTCTGAGCCTCCCATCATTCCCAATAGTCAAGGGAATGAAAATATTTGAAAAGGAAGAGAACCCACCTTTTGACCATGTTAGTGTTTGGTGTTGACAGACAGCACATTTCAGCAGGTAACAATGGTTGATTCCTTTTTCCTATACTTCACTCTTTCACAGTTCAGTATAACAATTTACTCTCTCCGTTTCATTTTATATGGAGGTGTTCACCGGGCGTTTGACCCATAAACTTTATATATATACCATACCAAAGGTAGTCTTAGAACTTGTGGTCTTAAATATGCCACGACGTTCCTATAGCTATAAGAGAATATCATTAGGGGTGAAATGAGAGGTTTAAAATTAAATAAAGTTTCCAAAAATAGAAATATGTCATTCTTTTTTGGACAAACCAAAAGAGTACTACATAAGAAACATATAGGTTAAGATGATATAAGAGTACTACACTCCACTTTGTTTGTTCAATGAAACTTCTAAACCACGCTAATTTTACAATTGCTCCCTTTTAAAGTGAGTATATAAAGATCTACTTATCAAGAGCCTGACAGGCAACTCTTGGAACATTGAGATATAATTATACTCCAGATACATTATAAGCTATATGGCTCACTCAGTTTACTTCTTTCTCCTCATTTATCCTTGGCCAAGTAGCAGAGAGGACATAATATATTATGGCATTTCCGTTCTTCGAAATGTTAGTTTCCAAAATCAAATCCAGAAATAGGCTTCTAGGTTTGAGAATGTGACGACATTTCCCAAAACATTGCTGACTATGCTCCATTCTTTACACCTTTTGTGAGTATAGGGAATTTGGTTTCAAGGTTTTAACCTGAAAAGGGGGTTACTTGTAATATACAGAACAGATGCCAGAAGAGGGATGTAAAAGTGCATTTTGCTCCAAGTTAAAAAGGTTTCAACAGAGATTAATACCTTGGAAACTTTTTCCATCAGGAGAATGTATCATAAATTGCTTGGTGAGTTTCAGAAGGTGCCCTGGAGGAGGATCATATGCAACAATTTTGGTGCTCCTAAATGGATTTTTATACTGAGAATAGCGGCATGGGAAGATTGCATACCAAAGATAGGTTGGCTAAGTGGGGAATAAGTATTAACCAAGAATGTTCCTTGTGCTCTTCGGAATTAGAGACTACCTCTCATCTATTCTTTCAGTGTCCATTTTCTGCAAACATATGGAACAACATTCTGCAATGGCAAGGGATTATGACCAATTGGATGGCAAGAAGAACTGCAGTGGATGATGACCAATTGCAAAGGGAAAACTGCCAGTGATCATATACTCAGAATGGCTATAGCTGGCACTGTGTATCGTCTTTGGAAAGAAAGAAATTTGAGAATTTTCAAGGGAAAAAGCAGGAGTACCGAGCATATCATCAAAACTATTGTTCAGGAGATCTTCTATCGGGGCCAGTCAAAACCTAAGATAGCGAAGAAGTTGCAAACCCTGAATTTTTATCCTATTCAGTGTTTAGCCAGGGTCTGAAGTTGAGGAGAGAACGTTGTGTTCTGCTGAAACTGTAATGTAGTTCTGCATTTTTTTTTTTCGTTGTAATACTTCCAGTTGGTTAATAAAAAATTTTATTTTCCAAAAAAAAAAAAGGTTTCTACAGATAATCATTGAACAATCTTTTTGAAGCTCCTCTCTTACAGTTGGATCTTAGTGCATCCATGTCCTCTTTTATGCCTTGTGGAACAAATGTTGTACTAATGTAAAAACATCTTCTTTTCTTTGAGTGGAACAGTTGGAAAGGGATCTATATGATGGGTACATATAACATAGGGTTAATAACAAGATGTGAACCTTGCAGCCACTGGTTTGTGTGAAGAAAGCAGGGAACTCATCGGTTTTATATGCTGCAACAGTAACTCTTTGAGTTTCCTGTAGGTCACGATAGAAAAAGAAAGGGTTGAATTTCCATGTCATCCATTATCATGTATAAGAGATCTGAAGTAAAATAAGAATGTTGGTACAAACCAAATATTCAAGTGTTCGGGGAATATCTAGTATCGATTTTACACCAGCAGAGATCACAGCCACAGGAATATTTCCAAGCTCGGTAAGATCAGAAGAAATATCCAATGCTGTAAAAATAAATCCATAAGAACTACTCAAACATAATAAATAAAAAAATAAATGCGAACAAGAAAAGAAAAGTTGAAAGCTAAAGAAGTGCTTATTTCATTACGAAAATGTTTGCTACCTTAAACAAAAAATGCTTGAAGAGAGCTCTAAATGACAACCATGTAGAGATCGGGTTTATTAGAAGCAGCCTAATAATCCCACAATATAAGGAGACAACATTCCATTGTGGGACACTCTAACTCCCTGCATGCACAGACCCGGACATCTAGAGCGTGGATAGCAATAATATGGGGGCCAACATCGGATAAACCAAGAATAGAGATAAAACTGTCTTTGATACCATGTGAGAAATAAAGACACATGAGAAATGAAGAATGTTAAGAAAATGGACCATGGCTCTATCCCAACCCCTTAAAGGCTAGCTTATAAGGTGAGAATTGTCAAAACCATGGAAGGAGATAACAGTTCTCTCAACCTATGACACTCTTACACCCCTCCTAGCAGACCAGGTCTAGACATTTGGAGCACGGGAAACAAGTAAAGCAAGAATAGGGATGGCACTTACTTTGATATCATGTTAAGAAAATGAACTTTGATCTTAACTCGACCTCAAAAGCTAGCTTATAAGGTAAGAATTGCCCAAGATCATTTAAGTAGCAAACAGTTCATAGTGATGGAGACATTCTAAGCACCTCATATTAACCAGGTCCGTAGATCTAGAGCCATTTACATAAGTTGAAAATCATTATATTTGGAGCTAATCAGCAAGATAATCATCTGAAAAAGCTCTACATTGCTCCTGGTAATAGGTTGGAGCTGAACACCCTCGCTTAGTGCAACTCATGCTTTATTCATATTGATGATACTGCTGATCACTTACCAGTCTGTACACTAAAATGTCCTTGACATGCATCTTGTTCTCCATTCTTGATTTTTATTTATCAAACAAATACTTGTTTGCCAACTATTGTCAACAAATGATCAACGTAATTTGGCAAGCTATCATTCTAATTAAAAATCAGATGCTACCAAGCAAAATGCATAATTCTAGCATCACCACATAGACAAAGCACATATATAAGCATTGATTTACTCACTGTTCTCTCCATGTCTATGAACTCCTCCAATACCACCGGTCACAAATATTGGAATACCAACCTACAAGATAGGGAAGATACTTTTGACAAAAGATCCAGATGAATCAGAAGAAAACAAGCAATATACTAGAGAAATCCAATATGAATGCAGTCATCACCATTGAAGCAAGATACATTGTTGCAGAGACAGTAGTTGCTCCATTCTCCCTGCCTGCCATCTAGAAAAAAATACAAGAAACAGTAACTTAGAAAAAACTTAATTTGACAGCTTTGTGGCGGCTTCCCAAGAATATTTGTAGGATCCTGGAAGATATCCAAACATATGCTTCGGACTTTTTGAAAGGGAAAACTTAAAGATGAAGCATATATCTAGCATTCTATGGCTTAAAACACGTGAAAGACAACAGATGCCAGTCAGAGACAAAAGGTAGAGCCAAATATAACAATGTCCAGAAGATTGCACACCTTTGAGTACTTAATAATAGACATCAATAGTGCAAAATCAAAAAAGAGTGCGGCATCATCATTTGTTCTTGGTTCTTTCCACCCTACTAATTATAATTTTTAGCAACAGCACACATCACAATTCCACTCCAATTAAAAGACCAACAATATTATTCTTTCACTCTTTAAACCAAAACAAGAATATTATAATCCCATCAAGGATGGAATTTTATGAGATTTCATTAAGGTGGTTTGTTCATAAATGGTGATGATAATCATGTCCATTGCTGTGATTAACTACAGATAAATTCCTTGTAAGCTTATATGACAAGAGAAGTAAGTTTTTAGTAGGGGGCAGGCAAATTGTCATAGTTATATGGGTGAACTTATATTGAAGGCTTGCTGTAAGTTTGAGGGGGAAATATTTATAAGTGCAATCTTGAAGAAAAATACTTCACAGGAATTAAAGCAATCTTATCGTAGGTGGAGGTTAGTGGTGCATGGTTGGGAGAGCATGTCTAAGAAGAGAAGGAGATTCTAGTGAATCGCGAACAAAATCCAGGCTTCTGGAATTGATGCCTTCAGGACAAAACCATACAAGCGAATGATCAATTCTCTTTCAATGTCAAGGCTCACACACTAATTAACAAGTGAGACGGCTCAAGCGGTTTGTGTGAAGAGCTTTTTCGTCATCTTTTGGTATGTTTCTGAAAGGAACAATGAAGTAAAAAGGTTTTAAAGTAAATAAGTAAACCTTCTTTTTAATTTAAAAGTCACGCTTTCCTCAAAATACTTAAAAATGTGGTAAAGGGAGGAATAATCAATAATAAAACGTTTTGTTATAATATGAGAAATGTCTTCCTAGAAATATTTAGAACTGTAAAATGGGAGTGTAAAACAAACATAGGATAGTGCAAGCTCTGATGAAGTATATTTGTAAACTTATATAGTCATCATCAAGACACTCATAATTCTGCCAGCATACATTACAAAACAAGCTATCTGTGGCATACTATTTTCTCTAGGTCCATGAGGCTTTTTCATGTCACAACTCGAGATACACACACAAATAAAAAAAAAGCACGCACACACAGAGTCAAAATTTATTCCTAGAGCTTGTGATATTAAGTTTCAGCAGTCAAAACAAATATTTTAACAAATATAATAAAGGCAAACAAGATATAATTGCCCAAGCAACATCACGTAGTTTGGAATTGACTTACAACAACTGCAATGTCTCTACTAGCAGTTTTTCGAGCTTTGCTACCAAGACGTGCTAGAATCTCTAGTTCTTCTGTAGTCAAGCCTACCATAAAGAATATAATTCATGGTTAAAATATTTTACATGCTACTATGATTTTCCCAGTTAAAAGAAAGTTAGCACAAGAATAACACAACTCAGAAATAGCGTAAGGTCATGCAAGTATTTCAAGTTTTTTCATGTCAGAAGTTCACAGACTTTGAGCCAAGAGTACCAGATTAAATTTGACGAGCAGATGATGATCGGTACCAATGGCTATTAGTTAGTAATGATGTCGATATTCTGGAGATGCCGTGTTCATTTTTTACATTTCCTCACAATGTGTAAGTTTAACAAATAAGTTTGATATCAAAGATTCAAAGCTGCTGTAGAACATGAAGTTTCTGAAATTAGTTAAGTACAAGATGCCAAGATGGATATGGTTTCATGGCCGAGAAGAGTAGATGCTCTAAAAAAGGTCACTTTCCATGCCAAATTGCTCATCTTCACATTTCATTTCAAAAAAATTCCACTCCATTTCAAATTGTTCATGTTCACATTAACATTCAGAGAAACCTTCCAAGTAAATTTTTTATGAAGAAATTGGGAAGGTCAAAACTTTGAGACAACTCTCAGATACTCATGGAATATGCATCAGCCATATGCCAGTGCTGGAATATGATAGAGCATTGAAGCCAATGTACATTAATGTAGCAGCGTATATTTTGAAGACACACTAGTACTTTGTAAAAAATCCATTTCTATCATAAGAGAAAGATATTAGAGTTGATCAATCATCAATTCAATTGAGCTACCAAAAGTCAAAATTTAGCATGAGTATGGAGTAAATCGATAACCAGATAAAACATATACAACTTAGTCTCTATTGATAGTTACGATGCATATCAAGAAGCTAAGAACAAAGAGGTGATGTTTATTGCAGATTACTGTTACTCGAGCACAAGCAGACTGCCACGAGGTCCTTGAACACTTTAGGGAGAGATGTGATGAACTTAGCATCCTAGAGATCAATCCCACTTTTGTGTCAAAGTACCTCCAACCAAGAAATGAGAAAAGAAGAAAGAATGGTATAAAGAAAAAAGAGGGGGGAAAGCCTCAAATGAACACCTATGCATGGTACGCCATCCAGAATAGCGATAGTTGCAGGTACAGCTCCATTCTCCCTCACAATGACCTCCAACTCTTTGGCTGTCTCAAAATTCTGAGGATAAGGCATTCCTGGAAACAGAAAGAAAAGCCATAGTTGGAGCTACTATTAATAAAACATAAATGAGAAAGTATTACATGTAAGGTTAAGTAAGGCTAACTACTGAAATGCATTGTTGCACGGTCTAAGTCTTAATCTCAGTCTGTCACGCGCAGTAAGGCCACAGTTGACAATGCAAGACATTGATCATACAGGTAACACCTTATTTTCACTATATAAATGTGACGTGGAACTCTCCATCTTTTATTTTCCTATTTTATTTGGGAGAGCAGGGTATGGGGAGGAAGAATCGATATCAGGGGCAGACCTAATGCATAAACAGCGTCGCCTGAACTACAGCTTTCAGCTACAACCTTGTGTGTATATATTGTGTGTGTGTATATATACACACACACAATATATACACACAAGGTTGTAGCTGAAAGCTGTAGTTCAGGCGACGCTGTTTATGCATTAGGTCTGCCCCTGATATCGATTCTTCCTCCCCATACCCTGCTCTCCCAAATAAAATAGGAAAATAAAAGATGGAGAGTTCCACGTCACATTTATATAGTGAAAATAAGGTGTTACCTGTATGATCAATGTCTTGCATTGTCAACTGTGGCCTTACTGCGCGTGACAGACTGAGATTAAGACTTAGACCGTGCAACAATGCATTTCAGTAGTTAGCCTTACTTAACCTTACATGTAATACTTTCTCATTTATGTTTTATTAATAGTAGCTCCAACTATGGCTTTTCTTTCTGTTTCCAGGAATGCCTTATCCTCAGAATTTTGAGACAGCCAAAGAGTTGGAGGTCATTGTGAGGGAGAATGGAGCTGTACCTGCAACTATCGCTATTCTGGATGGCGTACCATGCATAGGTGTTCATTTGAGGCTTTCCCCCCTCTTTTTTCTTTATACCATTCTTTCTTCTTTTCTCATTTCTTGGTTGGAGGTACTTTGACACANGAGAGAGAGAGAGAGAGAGAGAGAGAGAGAGAGAGAGAGTGAAAATCCATTAAAGTTGATATTTTAAGACAACTGAACGGAATGCTTCAAGAGAGGCAGTGGGTGCAAAGACATTTTCTCCTCAAGCCAATTAATCTTCTGAACCCACTGACTGTTCATCCTACATCTGCCCCTCATGGAGATCGAGTAAATTTTATTTCTGAATTTAACTTAACAACATTACTTCTCATCTATATTTCCATTACATTTTGTTTTCTACTCCCTAAACGAAGTACAAATTATATATATAAATAAATATATATATATATATATATTTTGGAAGTACAAAATTATATTCACTAACACAAGCTTTGGATTGTAATAACAATTAAACACAAGGTTTTTGCCTGCGGCAGGATTCAAACCCGTAACGTGCCCCCAGCCCACACATCACAAGCTGCACTCTTACCACTAGTACGAATTACTACGACATAATTCCCTTCATTAGTACTAGTAACATATAGACAATATAAGCAGACGATTTAATTGAGCAATGAGGTCAAAATTTTCATGTACCATGAGATATTATGGTGGATTCGAGTGCAACAATTGGGCTGCCAATTTTTAGTGCTTCTGATACCTCAGGTGATATCTTAATCCACTCCAACTTTTGACCATCAGATCCAGCCTATAAAGCGTGAGAAAGAATTAACCATCAGGAAAAAATAGCATTTTTCCGACAACTAAAATTGGACAAATTTTCTTAGAAATTAAGGCATTGATAATTTGATTAGTAATTAACAATCTCGGAACTTGCTTTTGAATTGCAAAAAGGATAATTGTTAGTAAGAAAGAGTGATTTTTAGAGCTACCTTAGAGGCAGAAACTGATGAAATGAAGTGTCCATTTTGGTAAAGATATAACCAGAAATATAAGTTCATTGTTCGCAAAAAATAGCTTTCCATAAATGAAACTGGACAAACTTTCTTAGATATTAAGGTATTTGTAATTTGATTAGTATTTCAACATCACAATCCTGCTTTTGAATTGCAAAAGGAAAAAAAAAAAAAAAAAAAAAAAAAAAAAAAAAAAAAAAAAAAAGGTAATCAAGTAGTAAGACAGTGTGATTTTTAGTGGTACCTTAGAGGCAAAAGCTGCTGAAGTTAAGTGTCGAGTGAGGATTTCGAGCCTAGAATTAGCGGAAGAAGCCATGAATCAGTTTTGATTTCTCAGTAAAATTCACAGGGTAGAGGGCAGGTAGCGTCGCTAGGTTTTTTGTTGCCTGTGAAGCCGTGGTGAATGCGACTTATAACTCGCATTTAACCTCCCCAACCAGGGTAAAGTTCGATAGAAAATGATAAATGACTCCTTAGCAGTTTTGTCCAATAATTTTGTCAAATGTGAGCTTTTTAATCTTCGTCTCATATTTAATAAATTTTAATTATTAGTTTAAAAAACATAATGTCAATATATCTTGAGGAAAAAAATTATATATTAACAAAAGAAAATAAACAAGTCAAATCATCTATATCTATATATCTATATATCTATATATCTATATCNTATTAAAAAATCAAAAATATAAAAAATTATCTATCTATATCTATCTTCTATCTATATATAATAAAAGGAGAGGCAAAAGCATATTATTTTAAAATTATTTTAAATAAAAAACTAAATTGAAAAAAATAAAAAATTGCAAATTCAAATTTGGGAGTAGTTTCAAGTTGGAGTTTTAAGACAAAATAAACTACCTTTCTAACTAAAAAATCTTTTGAATTTTAAATTTTGAATTAATTGGTTACTCTATTTGAATTAATAAGTATATATATCTTACAATTAGCTATAATAAAAATTTATATATCTATATATCTATATATCTATATATATATAATAAAAGGAGAGGCAAAAGCACACTATTAAGACAAGTGGCATAACCACAAAAAGATAAGTGGCATTATTAAGACAAAACAAACTACCTTTTTAACTAAAACAAATCTTTTTAAATTTTGAATTAATTGGTTACTCTATTTGAATTAATAAATAGAGATATCTTATAATTAGTTATATTAAAAAATCGAAAATATAAAAAATTATCTATCTATATCTATCTTCTATCTATATATAATAAAAGGAGAGGCAAAAGCATATTATTTTAAAATTATTTTAAATAAAAAACTAAATTGAAAAAAATAAAAAATTGCAAATTCAAATTTGGGAGTAGTTTCAAGTTGGAGTTTTAAGACAAAATAAACTACCTTTCTAACTAAAAAATCTTTTGAATTTTAAATTTTGAATTAATTGGTTACTCTATTTGAATTAATAAGTATATATATATCTTACAATTAGCTATAATAAAAATTTATATATCTATATATCTATATATCTATATATATATAATAAAAGGAGAGGCAAAAGCACACTAT